CATAGCAGCACAATTCACCATAGCTAAGATCTGGAAACAGCCTAAGTGCCCATCAGTAGATGAATGGATTAGAAAACTGTGGTACATCTACACTATGGAATACTATGCTGCTGTAAATAAGAAGGAACTCTTGCCGTAACCGGTTTGGCTCAGTGGATAGAGCGTCGGCCTGCGGACTGAAAGGTCCCAGGTTCGATTCTGGTCAAGGGCATGTACCTTGGTTGTAGGCACATCCCCAGTAGGGGGTGTGCAGGAGGCAGCTGATCGATGTTTCTCTCTCATCGATGTTTCTAGCTCTCCATCTCTCTCCCTTCCTCTCTGTAAAAAAATCAATAAAATATATTTAAAAAAAAAGAAGGAACTCTTACTATTTGCAATGGCATGGATGGAACTGGAGAGCATTATGCTAAGTGAAATAAGCCAGTCAATGAAGGAAAAATACCACATGATCTCACCCATTCATGGATAATAAAGACCATTATAAACTTAAAAAAAATATAGATAGCTCCTGTAATAACAACCAATAAATCATTGTAATCTATGGCTTAAACTCACTTTTGTAAGTAGTTCTCCTGCCCCGGGAGAACTTGGTGCTTATGATTTTTCCGGGCATCAGCATGTTGTGATACAGATAGATATGCTTCCATGTTTACCGTTTAATCCAGGGATAAAAGTATTCTCTAGTAAAGATGCCCTCGCTGCCCATTCCCACTTCATTTCTCAGTGTCTTGGCTTTGTCCTTACCATTTTCCTGCACCTGTGGGTAAAGATTAGTAGTGACCTAATTATAGTCAAATCCAGTGGACTTTTTCCAGTTCTTTTCATCAGGTGACCATTCATCTGCTTTTGACGTGAGTTTCTTCCAAACTGTTATTTTCTCCCTTTACCTGACTTTTAAAAAAGTTTACCTGTGAGAATTTCTGTGTGTATCCTTGATCGATAAAGAGTCTGTGAAAAAGTGGGTGGAGCCTACCCGATGTGTCCCAGTGGTTGAGTGTTAACCTCTAAACCAGGAGTTCAATGTTCGATTCCCAGTCAGGGCACATGCCCAGGTTATGGGCTCAATCCCCTGTACAGGGTGTGCAGGAGTCAGCCAATCAATGATATTCTCTCATCATTGATGTTTTACCTTCCTCCCCCTTCTTCTTTGAAATCAATAAAAATATATTAAAAAAAAAAAGTGAGTGGAGATAACCCTAGTACCATTCTTTCTTATATAATACTAGAGGCCTGGTGCACAAAATTTGTGCATGGTGTGTGTGTGTGTGTGTGTGTGTGTGTGTGTCCCATAGCCCAGCCTTCACCCCCTCCAATCTGGAACCCCTAAAGGGCAGTCAACACATCCCTCTCACAATCCAGGACTGCTGGCTCCCAACCACTCACCTGCCTGCCAACCTGATCACCCCCTAACCGCTCGCCTGCCAGCCTGATCGACACCTAACTGCTCCCCTACTGGCCCGATTGCCCTTAAGTGTCCTCCCCTGCTGGCCCGATTGCCCTTAACTGTCCTCCCCTGCAGGGCTGGTCGCCCCTAACTGCCCTTCCCTGCAGGACTGGTCACCCCCAACTGCCCTCCCCTGCCAGCCATCTTGTGTCCACATGGTGGCAGCCATCTTGTGTGTTGGAGTGATGGTCAATTTGCATATTCCCTCTTTATTATATAGGATTATTATATAGGATTCGATAATATTCAGTGTTCAAAGTTTCCCTTTTCTAAATGTTGTTTGGTTTGTTCTTTTCAGTCAGGACACAAATAGCGTCCATATTTTTCAGGTGGGAGATTGGTGTTTTAAATCTATTAATAGTAACTCCCCTTTATGTCTCTTGTGTTATTTCTTTGAAATTTGTTTTTTTGTAATACTTTAAGCAATAAAAAAAAAAAAAAAAAAAGAAATTTGTTTTTTGAAGAAATTGGGTTGTTTATCCTGTTTCTCACAGTATGGATTGTGGGGATTGCATTGCCATCTGTTTTAACTTTACTTTTTTTTTTTTTTTTTTAATTCCTTGTAGGCCTTGTAAGATTGGTAGTTAGATTGGAAATTGACTTGGACCAGTTCAGAATGTTTGGCAAGACTCTTGTCCATGACATGTGCCCTCTTTCTTCTGGAAGCCCGTTTTATCCTCCTGTCTTTGTCTTGTGAGATTAGCTTCTGTTGATTGATACCCGTTACCGTGACCAAATGATTCATTAGAATCATTGAATGGTAAGGTGCTTCTCTACCCTTTCTCCTTCACTTATGAGCTGGACTACTTTTCTGAAGAAAAGCATCTCCTCTTTACTTGGTTCTGTGGTTCATACAAGAAGACAATTTCCAAAATATTGAACAGGATTTTACATTTGCTTCCTTTTGTTACTGTTATGAGCTGATGGATTTAAACGTTTAAGTACTTTGGTAGGTTGAAGTTGTTACTCCTTTTGATGTGTAAGTGGGTACATCTGTGAATCGCTTCTTCTGAGTCCCTTTGAGTCATTCCCTATGTATTTGATAGCATTCTTTTTTAATCAGTATTTTATTTTGAAAAAACCTCCAATTTACAGAACAGTTACAAGCATTGTATATAGAACTCCCATATTCCTTTTGCCCAGACACTGTATGGAGAAGACTCGCCCCATGTCCTGAATTTGTGCATCTCCTGAGCTCCTCCAGAGGCTGTGAGCACCCCCTTGTTCCACTCCTCACTGCTTCAGCGTCCCCGTCTCCGCTGCCACAGCTCTGGCCTAAACTGTTCCTGCAGCCACACCTGTTTCCCTGCCCTGACCACCGGCCATGCTCAGTGTGTTGTATCTTGAACTCTTTGGCTGGTCCTTGTCCCTGGTTCCTTGGAGGAATGTCCTGGGTGGTAGGGGTGTGGGCGCTCCACGTGGGGCCCGTTGGAGCACACCTGGGCTTATGCGGTGGAGGGGCCTCAGGGCGTGGGCCCGTCAGGCCAGAAAGACCAGCCCTGGGATTGCAGGTCAGGGATTGGAGCCCAGTCTAGGGCGCTGGGGACTGAGTTCAACCTCCTGGACAGTGATTGATTGACTAGAAACTAGATGGTGCTACATACTGAAATCCCAAGAAAAACCAGGTTCCGGAAGCTCAGATGAGCTTCTCTGATGGGTGAAGCACATCTGTGCGCTGTGAGGGAGGCCACAGGCTGAGGACATGGAAGCTTGGGGTGCGGGACCGTCCCAGCATTCTCTGACCACCCCTCTCCCAGGAAGCTTTCCTCCACAATCCACTGTTTGCCGGGAGCCGGTCCATCCTTGCTGCTTGACACAGTCGCTGCAGGAAAGAAACATCTGCACAGCATATGTTTCAAGGGACCTGGCGTATATAGCATACTGTTCTTAATATGTTTGCTCCCCTTAGCGCTGTGTGTTTTAACCAAGGTCACCTCTCTGAGAAAGGTTGTTTCCCCAGGTAGGGATTTTTCCCTGAAGTTAGGGAGGGGATGAAACTCCTTAACTAAGTGCCAGGTGGGTAATCACTTTAGCTACGAACAATCACGCTTAAGCTACATAATCTTTACTCCCTGGAATGGAGGTAAGAAACGCCCTAGCCTTTGTAATAGAAATTGACAGGATTAAAATCAACTGGTATAAATACGGATGTAACAAGACAATAAACAGCAGAACTTCGCTGGAGATCCAGACCAGAACTTGGCTGGAGATCCTGGCTAGAGATCCTGGCTAGGCTGCTGATCAACTGAACACTGTCTCCGTGTCCTTCCTTCTTCGCCGACTCCGTCTACACCTTTGGGGACCCCTGGACCTGCTGGGGTTGGACCCCGGCAACTGTTCACGGCAGTAGTTCCTCCTTTTCCAGGCCCATCTCCCTTAACAGCCTGAACTCATCCCAGAAATTTCCCCAGTACCCTCATTTCTTTTCCATGGTTCCTGCTTCACCACAGGCTCTAGTTCCTTCTACCAGCTAAAACTGTTATTGGAGGTTGTGAAAAGGACTCCCATGAGGGGTAAAAGAGTGAACACTGTGTGTTCTCTTGTGCCCAGGGGTTCCCTTGTCAAAGCCCATTTCCAGGAAAGCTTGTCTAGTGGAGTCACCTGTCCTTGACTTTGAATTTCAGGTTATTGTCTGGGTACCTGGGGTGCTTTCTTCCTTCTCTCTGCTCTTCACCATTCTTCTACCTCAATATAGTCCCCTTCTTTCCCCTCTCAGACTCTAACTTAGGATCTGCCTCAACTTCTATTGTTTTTTTCTAATACGTGGAAAACAATTTGGGATTATTTCTCAGAGTTAAGAAATTTGGTTGAATAATCACAGCCCCATTTAGCTACATTATCATTTGATAGTGAATAGGCTAATTAAACTGACATTACCAGACACGTCGCAAAGGTGAGAATTCATCTGTATTATATTTTCTCCAGAGATGCATTGCCTTGTGCTCTTTAATGATCTAAATTAACATACAAACATGCCATCCAGGCAAGGAAATAAATTACACTCAAATTCTCACAATTCAATAATAAAGTCTAAAAAATAAAAAAATTTAAGAATATGGGGGAACTACACCTACCTATAAGATAATTGATATTATATAAATATCATAGATAAAACCAGAGAAACCTCTCTTGAAAATGGAAACAAAATTATACAGTATTTGCATATGTATGCCAGCTATAATACTCATCAGAAAGCTTTTTAAAACTACTGACTATTCAAATCTACCTAACATAAATATATAAATATTAAATATGAGACTAAATATAATAATCCTATGGGCCACATTTTCTAAACAAACCATAGAATGCATGGCCTACATTCAGCTATCACAAACTTAGGGCTCTAATTTTATACTTTAAAGTATTTCCCTCCGCGTCTGAGACCCCAAACGCCACCTTCAGATGGCTCTGGAAGGCTACAACCAGGTGTAGAAAATGTGGGACCTCCAGCTTCTGCCTCAGGGGAGGTTTGAATTAAACAATGTGAAATTTGGGATGGAGCCTTAGGGAGGGATGGAATCTGAAAAAACCCTGGTTCCGTATTGTCCTCCTACAGACTCCGTTCTGGGCTCCTCTGCATGGTGTTTCCCTTCCTCCTGTCTGTCCTGAGCATCTGGATTGACTTCCTGCTGAAAATGGAGTCTGCCTTGGGCTCAGCGATCTAGAGGTAAGAGGAAGAGACAGGATGTCACATTCCAAACAGGCAGCTCTCCACATGTAAAGATTATTAAAATCTCAGGCAATTCTACCGAGTTTGGCTAACCTGTAGGCCCCATTTTATCTCCAGTCCTCCCTTCTCAACCCCACTCCTGAACCACTGTTTCCAGGTGTGATGCTTGGACTTTGACGACTCTGAGTCCCAACATTCCTTAATGAACCCAGTGACCTGCTTACAGCCAGGACTCTAGGTGACTGTCTGGGGGCAGCACATCTGGGAGAGAGCTGCTCTCACTCACTCACACCTTGGTCCTTTTGTGCTGCTTCACATCTAAACTTCCAGGCACACTGCAAACGTCACTGACATGTCCACATCACAGACCACGAGACCAGGTGCCCCATACCTGCTCCTAACCCTGGATCCGGATGTTTAACTATCATACTGAGTCTGAACGAGGCTAGGGCTATGGTGTGAGTGTTTGTGTCCCCCAAATTCATTACCCCTGAGGTGATGGTATTAGGAGGTGGGGGCCTTTGGGAGGTGGTTAGGTCATTGGGTGGGCCCCTAAGAATGAGCTTATTGTCTGCCCTTAGAAAAGGCGCCAGAGATGCCTCGCCCCTTCCACTGTGTAAGGACATGGCGACATGTTGGCCGTCTGCAGCACAGAACCCCACCGTGCCAGCACCTGATCGCAGCCTTCCAGCCTCCAGAGCGGTGAGAAACAAATGTCTGTTGTTGATCAGCCACCCAGTCTGTGGTGTTTTGTTATAGCGGCCAAAACGGACTAAGGTAGCGAGGTCACAAGATTTTAACCAAAACTCAGTCCTCTGCCATGATCTGTAACTCCCATGTGTCGATCAGGGCAAGCCATGCAGGACCAGTATTTCTCAACCTTCGCTCATCCTGACAAACTTCCTTGACCATGAACTTGAGGGGAGACGTGTAATGATCCAAGGGGAGAGATTGTGAGCCAGGGGAAGTGAAGGACACACGGTGATCTGGCCATGGGCTACTTGTTTGCATGTAAACTTGGATGAAGACAGAGCTAGTGGGGATTTATCTGTTTATCTTTGGATTTAGAGACTGTTCCATCTGATACCCTATTGTTAGACATTGACTTCAGTGCAGAACATCCCTGTGGTTGGCATTCCTGAGGGAGAAAGGCCCAAGTGAATGAACAACAGGAAGTCACAATATATGGAAAAAATTGGAAACTTACTCAGTTTTCAAAAAACTCAACATTTCAACAAATTGACTGCTTGGACCTAGTTGCTCTGTTTAAAATGACTCCACCAAATCTTGAGGTCTGGCCCCCACACATCCCACTGAGGTGCCTGTGTGTCAGCTTGTGGCTGGGAGCTGAGTCAGTCCCTGGCTGTGTGCCTGGAGGGTCCACTTCAGTGTGTGGGGAGGTGATGAGGAGGGGGACGATGAGCATGGGTCCAGCCATTGGATTCCTGGGATTTCTTAAAGAGACAACACATCCTTTCATCTGTACCTGTGAGGACTCCGACCGCCTTCCTTCAGACCTACCTTAGGTGGTCTCAGAAAGGAGGGCGCGATCTCGCCTCCACACCCAGAGCCCTGGATCAAAAGCCTGGATCTGGAAGGACAAACAGCCCCCTGAGAAGATGATGACTCTCCAGGTGCACCCCATCCCGTCCCTGGTCCAGCCTTCAATTCTTAGTCACCCCCAAATCCCCAAACCGATCCCCCAAGGTCCCCTGTCTCTCCAATGTGGTCCCCTCCCCCTAATCCCACAGCCCACCTACCTCTTCGCACTCTTCGCGCGTGACCCTTGCCCTCCAGTCCATGGAACGGAAGAACTGGAATCGCAGTTTGTGGAACAAGGGGCGCTGGGAGCAGATGTTCTCCCCATAGAGGAAGGACAAGATGGCCTGTTTAGGGGCGTGGTAATGCTCCTCCATGTCCACGGCCAGGTAGCTGGGGAAGGACATGAGGTTGCCAGTCAGGAGCAGGCAGGAAGCACCCGCCTGTGGTCAGCTTCCCAGGAAGCACACAGGCTGGATCCTCCTCACACAGGACCTCGGGAGCCCGATCCAGTATCTCTGAGGGCCACCCAGGCATCAGGAAGCTGAGCGGGACCTGAGGGCACCTCTCAGACCTTGATGAGGAAGATAAAATTCAGCGGGGAAGCCGGGCCCCTTCCTTTCACCCTGTTGTGTGTGCACACACCTGTCTCCCTATAGTGTCAGTGCCCATACAGCTCCTGAGGGCAGAGACCACGCGGTCCTTTTCTGTCTTCATTGCTTTCCTGCCAAATGACTAACAGGCCCATTAACTCAACAGTACTTATTAAAAAATATACATTTTTATTGATTTTAGAGAGGAAGGAAGAGGGAGAGAGAGATAGAAACATCAATGATGAGAGAGACTCATTGATTGGCTGCCTCCTGCATGCCCCCCACAGGGGATCCAGCCTACAACCAGACATTTGCCATTGACCACAATCAAACCTGGGATCCTTATGGTCCGCAGGCTGACTCTCTATCCACTGAGCTAAACCGGCTAGGGCTCAACAGGACTTTTTAAATTCTCTTCCCATCCTCACATTCCTTGGCCATGAATGGGCTTTATAAGGTTGCACAGAATGAATGAATGAATGAATGAATGCTTTTTCTCATAGTCAAGTGGAAAACTGATTACCTTACAGACTCAATATAACTTGAACATTTGCAAAATAAAAAAACCCCTGTGTGGAGTGTTTTAGGAAGCCATTGATATCTTGACAAGAGCTGTCCTCTACAGGTATCTAGTTGAATGGGATTGGGGAAGGAGAAAGGGGGAGAAGAGAAGTCATTGTAATCCAAGGTATCACATTGTAATACAGTTTGAATAACCAACTGCTGGCATGTAGAAATTAGGGGGTCAGAGAAGTTATCTGAATATTTTTTGTTTGAATCAGTATAAGAATACATCTTTTTTTTCGAATACATATGTGTAAATAATACCTAGACAGAAAGCAATAGGAAGAAAACAGGAAAAGGTGTTTAGAAGAGCAGTGAAACAAAGAATGGGATATCGGGGTGGTATTGATGGAGACCCTGAGACAGCTGAATTCAAGCTGAAAACTTTGGCCTTGATTTAGAAGGCAATTAGCAAATGAAATTCTTGTGGTGGTTGGTGAAGTGGTTAAACCTGTGTTTTGGAAGGATATTCAGGAAGATTTGTAAGAAACACCCCTGGGTAGCATTTTACAATAGATCAGTGTTGTTTAATACTTTTTTTCTTAATTATCATCTGAGAATATTTTCATTGATTTTAGAGAGAGAAAGAGAGAGAGGGAAACTCTGATCCACTGCCTCCTGCATGCACCCCAGTTGGGGCTGGGATTGAACCTACAACCTGCATATGTGCCCTGACTGGAAATCGAACCCTCAACTTTTTGGTTTAGGGGACAACACTCCTACCCACTCAGCCCACATCAGCCAGGGCTGGATCTGTGTTGTTTAATGAAGGCCCGCATTGAGGACGGCGACCATTACATTTGCCGTGGTTATGGGGGAGGAGCGGGGGGAGAGAGAGAGAGAGAGAGAGAGAATGAATTCGAAATGGCTAGTCCCAAGCCTATTAGTTGGGGGTAAAGTGAAGTGGTAGCAATTCTTTATGAGGCTTTTGTGTTTTCTTTTATTTTGTTCAATCTTTTAATTGACATTAGGGTTGTTGGCTTTTACACAGAAGAGTATAAAAAACCCTATACTACAATTCTATCATTTTTATAACTAGACGGAAGAGTACAAATAGGTTATAAAAATAGATGAAAGGGCCTTAGCTGGTTAGCTCTGTGGTTAGAGCATCAGCTGAAGGGTCTCAGAGTCCATGGGCACCTACCTCGGTTGCAGGCTCAGTTCCCTGCTCTGGTCGAGGCTCCTGTGAGAGGCAACCAATGGGTGTGTCTCTCTCACATTGATGTTTCTCTCTCTCTCTTTCTCCCCCTCCCTTCCATTCTCTCTAAAAAAATCAATGGAAAAAGTATCCCTGGGTGGTAATTAACAAAAATTAAAAAAAATAGATGAAAGGTCAGAGATACAACTCGTCTCCCTCCTCCTCCCCAGGGTATGAATACTGACTGGTGGGAATAAGCAAGATACTCACAGGGCCAGGAAGAAATGAATGCGTCGGTACTGCCAGGAGAAGAGGCCCGCGCGGCTGAAATAAGCTATCACCATGGACAGGAGATACTGATGGAAAGAGAACAAACATAAAAGGACTCCCGTTGTGAAAGAGGAGGAACAGTGGGGTGAGTGACTGGCTGATGCTCCCAGTAGCAAGCGCTGCGGTTTCAGGGCGTGTGCTCAGGACAGCCAGCTCCAGGAGGGTCTTTGACAGGCTGGAGCAAAGGGGTGTCCCCAAAGGCAGAGAGAAGAGGGCACTTGATGTGGCCAAAACCACAGGGGCAAGATCCCAGAGGAGCCAGGGCTGAGGCAGGGCTGCCCGTCCACACTGCAGGAAACCCCTCGGTCCCCGAAGGGAAGGGGTGACAAGGCATCAGGCTGGAGAGAGAATTGTGGGCTCAGAAAGCTCTCCCCTGCCCCAGGATAGATGGCAGAGCAGGGGTACTTCTTACCTTGTCAGAGAGCCTCAGATTTGTGTCCCAGGCCAGGAATCTTTTAATGACAGGATCCTCTGTGAAAGAGGGCATATGTTCGCTTGAGGACAGCAACAGGGTTGCCATGGGAGCGTTCCAGGGCCAAGTGCAGAACTATGGCCCTACTGGGGAAGTTTCAGGATTGTGGCCAAGGCCGAGGCCAGTAGGAAGAGGGACAGAGGAGATAGTTCCTGGGACAAGGAAGCAGTGGTGACCCCTGAACCTTACCCCCCAAGTCTGGGGTGACTGAGTGACAGCTAGGGTGTCAGTCACACATCTGCACGATTCAGAGCTGAAATAATCCGATGCCATGGCCGTTGTCAGTGGACAGTCCCTTCAGGGTGGGAAGGTGGCCTTATTATGTGCCCTCTTACACAGATGAAGGTGTTTAGAATCAGAAGGCCAGTCAGAGCTGAGAAGTTGCAGAGGGTGCAGTTGAAACTGAGCTGCCTGACCCCAAGTGCAGCCCCATTTGAAGTGTAGCCTAGTCCTCCATTATCTCTTAGTGCCCCCCCAGTGAGTGATGGACACGGAGCCCTCCTAGGAGAGGGAGCTCGCTAACTGGCAGGGAATTCTTTCCTACTGGGAAGGAGTAGTTATTGGAAGGTCCTTTTTAAAGCGTAGGATTGGAGGGTGCGCTGCAGGGCCCCTTCCTACCGAGCAGCCTGGTGAAGGCCTGATGGTGCTCAGGTCGCACTGAAGACACCCGCTGCCTCTTCAGCTTCATCTTGAGCCCGCAGAGGGTCTCCACGACCCAGAGGTCCTGAGCCCCAGGGGCAGACTCCTCCTCGGACCCCTCCTCTGTGGGCCACTCCCTCTTCCTTTTCCGTCCAGCAGATCGAGGCCGGGCGCTGCCCTCTGCACAGGGGCCTGAGTAAAAAAAACCAGCTACAATTCACAGCATTTGCCTCTGGAATTCAGCTACTGGTCACATAAAACAAGCTGCATACCCAGTCCACCTCATGTACTCCCCGTCCCCAAAGCAAACCCCTCCGTTGTCTCCAGTCTCATAGTCTACTGGCCTTCCCCCCAGCCATCTCTCCATCTCACTCCTTTGGGGATGCCCACCTGTCCCACAGTCATCTTGTCATTGTTCTATGTCTCTGTCCTCAAAACCCTTCCTTGTTGGTGATAATTTCTCCCATTGGAGGGGAAAAGAGAGGAACCCTTCACTATTTCCTCCCTTCCCTTCTCTCATCCTTGGATCTCATCTCCTAGCCTCCTTCCCAGGCTTTCCTTTCGTGGGGATTTCCTTGTCCCCAGTTCCTGTGATCTCCAATCCCTGGCTTTCTGGATCTCTCTCTCACACACACACTACTCAGGTCCCCCTTCCTCAATGGTCAACCCTCTCAAATCCCTTCTGCCCCCAGTTTCCTCACCTGATGGTCCTGGGACGACTTCAACCACTCTCACCTCTAGGGGGCACCCTGAGCAGTTAGGCTGTGGTCTCTGGTTCTCACCCTGGAAACTTGGTTCACAACTGGCCATTATTTCTCCCAAATCTTCCCTTTCAGGACACCTAGACACTTGTCTGTCCAAATTCTTGGAGAAGATGCTGTTGCCCACCTCTGTTGCCAAGCACCACGGAATTTGGTCCTTCCAATCAGGAAGGTCGGAAACCTCTGATGTCATTATTCATTCCAACCTGGCAAGCAGCTTGAAGGATCCAAACCCATGGACTGCCATGTGTGCACTGCTCCTGGGAATCGGGGGTCAACCATACCTCCTGCCACTGACCCAACAGCCTCTGTCCAGCCTCCAACACTCTCCTCTATGGCAGCATCATTCTTTACCCCTCCCCAGGAGATGCTGTGTTCTCTCCATTCTGAACTTGAAATAGGCTGGACTCTCTCCTTTCCCATTCCTATTTCAGAACTGATGAGAGAGGGAGGTCACAAGGACATTTAGGGGAAGGAGAAATGCTCAGACCTTACAAGAATGAGATACGTGTGTAAAAAAAGATCCCATGTACAATGAATTGTCGAATGATAAAGTTACTTTAAAACACTCCATTTGCCAAAGCCGGATGATTATAGACACAATGTTCAGAATTCTGTTCGGGGGGACACATCTAGCCGCAGGCATGTTTTAGTCTAAGAGACTCTGTGAGAAACTAAAATCCTAGGAAACTACATATGCTCACGCACTCAGATATGTCTACAATTTCAGGGAGTCCATGGATCACCCAAAGTCTGCCCCTCAATTCCAATTAAACTCTAGTCTACATATCAAAAGTTTCACTCTTAAAAAAAAATTCACTCTTGACCCAGAAATTTCACTACCACTCATGTATCCTATGAAAAAATATCCCATACACAGAAAGACTACATGGAAAGATCTCTAATTCATGACAGAACATGAGGTTCTCTGTGAAGGTGGGGAGTACAGGTGCAGAAAAGAGACTAACCACTCGGTGTCCTGCAGGATCAGGGATGATTCCTCTGAAGGGCCTGCCTACCTCATGTGTCTGCTAGTCACCTGGGCACTGGATCTTCCCCCCCGCACCCCTGCCGTCCTCCCTCCCTCAATCCCTCCCTCCCCCCTCCTTTCCTTCCTCCCTCCCGCTCTTCCTTCCCTTTTTATTGTGGTAAAATAACATCAAATTTACCATTTTAATTAAGGTTAAATTAAGGGGCATTGAGCACATATTGGAAGGTTGTACATATCACTCAGTGTTTTTTGTAGCATTTTTCAAATCTATGTATTTGAAAGCCCCAAGTATAGTTTTCAAGAGAGACATGCTCAGGAAATACTATTATGTTTTCTCTGTTTTTATTTTCTTCTTCCTCTATCCTTCTCTCTGTCTTCGTATTTAGAAGCAGCATCAGCGTCATAGCTACCACTTATTGAACATTTGCCATGTCCCAGGCACTGACCTATTTCTTAAATGGATCATCCTACTTAATACTGACAATAACCCTAGGAGGTGAGCATAGTTCTGATTCTCACTTATTTTTTTTAAGTAAGGGTTTTTTAAAGATAAAATATATTGCCCTGACCGGTTTGGCTCAGTGGATAGAGCGTCGGCCTACAGACTGAAGGGTCCCAGGTTTGATTCCGATCAAGGGCATGTACCTTGGTTGTGGGGGGTGTGCAGGAGGCAGCTGATCGATGTTTCTCTCTCATCGATGTTTCTAACTCTCTATCCCTCTCCCTTCCTCTCTGTAAAAAATCAATAATATATATTAAAAAAATAATAAAATATATTTTTATATCAGAGAGGAAGGGAGAAGGTGAGAGAGAGAGAGAAAAACATCAATGATAAGAGAATCATTGATTGGCTGCCCCCTGCACGCCCCTACTGGGGATCAAGCCCGCAACCTGGGCATGTGCCCTTGACCAGAATTAAACCTGGGACCCTTCAGTCCGCAGGCCTATGCTCGATCCACTGAGCCCAAACGGCTAGGGCTCTCACTTTTTTCAGATGAAGACATTGAGGCCCGGAGGCATTAAGTAATTTACCCAAGAAGCTATTTAGAACTTGGCAGAGGTGAGGTTCTAGCCCAGGAAGTCTGCCACCAGAGTCCTCACTTAACCACTAAATTTCACACCTTTTATGACTGTTCAAAAATAGTAATTCCACGCAGAGAACAATAGATAAACTTGGAGATAAAAAACTAGTCAGGCCCTAGCTGGTTTGGCTCAGTGGATAGAGCATCAGCCTGTGGACTGAAGGGTCCTGGGTTCAATTCCAGTCAAGGGCACCTGCCTGGGTTGTGGGCTCAATCCCCTCCGGCAGGGGGCATGCAGGAGACAGCCAGTCAATGATTCTCTCTCACCATTGTTGTTTCTCTCTCTCCCTCTCCCTTCCTCTCTGAAATCAATAAAAATATATTTAAAAAAAGACTAGTCAGTAATCTCTCCAATTTCTTTCAGCATCTTAAAAAACACTGTGTTAATAAAACTAGAGTGTGATCAAAGAAAAGCCTGATACATGTTTTTTGTTGTTGTTACACTATTCAGTTGCTTACACATAATTCATATGTAAAATGATAGTAATGAAAGTTGGTCTTGAAATATTGTATGTACCCTGGGTGGGTGTCTTGGTTGGAGTGTTGTGCCATACATCAAAAGGTTGTGGGTTCAATTCCCTAGTAGGGCAAATATCTAGGTTGTGAGTTATAGGAGGCAACTGATCAATGTTTCTCTCATTGATGTTCCTCTCTTCCCCTTCTTCTCCCTCTAAAAAATCAATAAAACATGTCTTCAGGTGAGGATTATTTTAAAAAAGGAAATATTACGTGTAGCTCAAATTAGGAGCTTGGCATTAAATCTCTTTTTGGACCACAAATAATTTAGCCAAATTAGAGTCTAGAGTAATTTATCATAAGGTGGGCTTTTAACCCTACTATCTGGATGTACTCAGCGGTTTGCTATGAAAGCTCATAAACTGTGGAAGCACCTCTTGTTAAGCTATGCTACCAGGGAAAACATATGAATTTAGTTTTCCCTCAACATTATTATTTTTAAAAATATATATTTTATTGATTTTTTTACAGAGAGGAAGGGAGAGGGATAGAAAGAAACATCGATGAGAGAGAAACATCGATCAGCTGCCTCCTGCAATCCCCTATTGAGGATGTGCCCGCAACCAAGGTACATGCCCCTGACTGGAATCGAACCTGGGACCCTTCAATCTGGAGGCCAACGCTCTATCCACTGAGCCAAACCGGTTAGGGCCCCCTCAACATTATTCCACCGTTCAATAAAGGGAAAATACATGGAAAACTCTTGTTTAGTATTCATTTATACTCATTTATTTTCATCAGTGACTTCTCAGAGAAAGTTGGTTCAGTTCATTTTTTCACGTTTAGTCTCTGATGTAGTGTGGGACTGTATGTCTCCACAATGAACAGAGATGTTTTTCAAATAGAAAAAAAATTGTTTTGTACTTTTTGGAAAATATAAACAAAAACATGGTGTCTACTGAATAGGGCTTTCTAACGGAGTGTAGATTTTTTCATTTCCAACATGTATCTCTGTCTATCTCCTGATATTAGGATAGCCCACTACCAGATTTCTAGCTGTCCTATTGGGCAATTTATTGGCTCCTAAATAGGAATGGTGAAATCGCTGCATTATAATGACATGCTGTTACAAGCAATGAGCATCTATTTCCTAAGCAGATGTTTTCTGAGGATCTGCCCACTTCACACAAATGAATTTGCACTTTTAGTGGATATGGTTGGTACCATTGTAATGAAAAGATACCCAATTCTTTGGTTGACGTTAACTATTGCACATTCATCTATTTATATTGTAGTAAGATAAAGTTGGCTTGTCCAAATCTTGCTTTCCATTTCAGTTGGGCTAGGTCTCTTTTAAAACTCTATGATTCTTTTATGTCAATACGTATGTAGTTCAGTGGGTTTCTCAGCGAACTTGAGACAAAATGGTGGCAGTTCACTCCCAACAGATCTTCCTTGTAGTGAAGAGATTCCTAGGTGATCCCCCAAACATAAATCAGAGTTCTTAACTTGAGATCCATGGAACAGAGACCAAGGGATGGACCTGAGTCCCATCAACCTTCAAATGTATGCAAAATGCTGTATGTGTAGACATTTTTTCACAAATATCATCACATTAACAAAAGGGCTTAAGATCTAGAAAGGTTAAGAACAAATAAATTTAATTAATTCTTTTAAATAATGGGATCTGGGAGTGATACATGATTTTGGGCCTATTTACCACATATTAGCTTACTTGGTCATGTCATTCAACTGCCCACCTCATGATATAACAGAAAATGAATAAGATTTACTTAAAGCCCAAAGGGAAATGGATCCTGTGCTGATTAATGTTTATTCTGGGATTTGGGAGTCTCAGATGAGAAACCCAGTCATGTTAAGTTTGGTTATTTTCCTCATTTGTAGCCAGTATTCAATTACTTAAATTCAACATGTGGATTTTTAGGTATCTCATTGTCTTTTTCCTTCTTTTGACTTCATTTGGTATATTTTCTACCACTAAACAAGGGGGAAAATGGAATAGGAGGTCCTGAAACTCAAAAGCAGCATAAAGTCACATGTTTGTGATGCTTATTGAGCAAAGGTTAAGATCAGTGTTTAAATTTTTTATGTCTTAGGAGTTCTTGATCCTCAAAAACTAGGTTATTTTGGTGTTCTTTTGTACTAAACAGCAAGTATCCAATTATGCTTGACTTCAGAGGTTCTCAGACTCATCCTCCACCCTACAGAGACTCACAAAGATGGCCGCCAATACCCAAGAGTTATACACAGGTTTATTCCTGAGTCTTGTGGCAACCCATCTCACAAAATACTTTGAGCCTGCTTCCAGTTAACCTGGCTGCTGAATTATGAATCATTGTCCTCATTGTGGGTCCATCTAACCTCCTGGCTTGATGTTCCTCAAGAGACCTCTTGCTTTTATAGATTCAAATGCTTTGGGGAAAAACCCTGACTAATCAACTCTATCTCCAGGACCTTGTAGCTTGGTGCAATCTCTCAGGAACCTCTCTTGCCCCTTGA